ACTACATGAAAATGAAAATTAATGAATACACTGTGTTCAGTAATTTACCTGATAACACAGACCTCAGAAAAATACTTTATGAGAGCTTTCATACTTTTATAAAGCTGTCTATAATGAAAATTAATTAACTAAGGATTTTTTTGCCCTGTTAGGGTGTGGCCGAGTTATCCGGAGTGCCGGGTTATCGAGAGCCGAGTTTTCGAGGTTCTACTGTATTAGTTTTTTGTATTAAATTACCATTCATATGCAATTTAAAATAATAAATAGCTTTCAAGTTAAAAGACAGTAGTAAAGTAAATTGTTCTGTAACATTTTTTAAACAGTAATTAGTTGTACAAAACAAAATTTCATCCTTCTGTTGGATGACTTGACCATTATAATCTATTGGATCATTATCATATAACAGTGATGGTAAATCTTTTTTCCAAAGGTGGGTCAAATTGAATTCAAAATTTATTAACTCCACATTGCAGGTCAAATATTTAATTGTAGTAATTAATTAAAAATAACATTAAAATGCTTATAAATTTTACTTTATTTAACTTTTTAATTTATGTGACAGAAATAATAATCTATATAAGTAGAAAAATGATGATAATGTGATTATAACAAATTATTTTCTTTAATGGGAAATCTGCTGTTGTTTATTCAATCATATTTTTTTTCTATCTATAGTTCATAAGTGTGCTTTAAGACCTTTCACAACAGCTTTAGGACTCCATTTTTACACTACATAGGCAAAGTTTTGAAATATATCAATATTTTTTTTATAAAAAACGTAATTCTTTTTAAACATTTAATATGGGGTACCTTGAAATCACATGGGAACCTGTGACTAATGGCTCACAGGTTCACCATCACTGTCATATAAGATAAAGCACATCTTTCAATATATAAGAGCTGATTGGTCAATTTTTGAGCCTATGTCATTGGATATAATTTACATTAAAAGTATTTTAAATCTAATTTTTTGAAGTTTATTTTAGCATTTATTGTTATTAATACAATAGTATTAGTAGTAGTATTAGAATTTGATAAATAAAAAAAAAACAAAGTAATACAATTTAAAAATTTTGTTGTTTGATACCTATATTGTATTTTTAACAGTTATAAAGTTTAGGATTTTACATCTCAATATTTTATGTTTTTAATTTCACTGTTTAAATATACCTTTAATGAACTGCTAAAAGAAATAAAACATAAAAAACACAATTTAAATGTTTGTGATCATACCTTCTAACTGCATGCCAGCTCTTGATGGCCACTCCATAGGCATTTGGTCTACATTGGTGTAGGTTATGCAAAGATTTTATTTTCATTCTAGCAATATTCTGAAGAATATATGTTTCTTTTAGTTATCTGCATGAAATTTCAGTAATATAAATATTTGCAAATATTTTGTTGTTTTATATATATATGTCTGTGTTGGTCATTTTTAACTTTTTAAAATATTTTATAATTTACAGTTTTATAAAAGTGGAAGTGTTTAATGAACTTCAACAAAAAGAAGTGTATAATGTGATAGCTACCATACCAGGACAATTTGAACCAGGTAATTACAAATATAAATTTGTTTTTTGGTGTACTAAAAAATTTAAGAGTTTATCTTTATATGCTTTTGCAAAATTATTAAATTGAGAAATAAGGTGGTTGCATGTATAATTGTTCTTTAATAACTATTGGATCTGTAATAGTAAGATGAGGCAGTTTTGTGTGAATTTGTCATAGCATTGTCATCTTTATGCTATTATGTCTAGTCTTGTGATGATGTAGTAAATGTAGATGGTGAATTCATTTATTTCTTTAGTCCAAACTTGAATTCATTCAATTTGTCATGATCTTTTTGTTTTTTGAGAAAAGTGCATGCATTATTCAAGTAAATATAGTATATTTTTGAAAATTTATAAAGAGGTTAAGCCTGATTTATAATATAATTTATTACCTTACTATTTAAGAATTTATTAAATATTAGAATAAACAAACTTTAATCACTATTACCTTGTGGATTTCTCCATTACAGTAGAGCGTCATTTATCCGAAAGTTGGTTATCCGAAAGAATTCCAGTCGGCAAATTTAAATTTTCGCTAGTGCTGTGGTGCTGCAATCTTTGGCTATATCTTGGGCTACTCCAATATTTTTTTGGTTGGTGTGTGTGTTTTAGCTGGCAGCACTGGCACTTTTGTGTGGTGTTTTTCTGAGGACTGTGTGTGGTGCTGAATCGAACGTTTTTGATACTAGATCAACTTCTAAAGTATATTTTTTTTTGTTTTTATATTTTTCAATATATTTATTTTGTTTGTACAAAATAAAGAAATAATTTTTAATGATACAATAGCCACAATTATTATTTTAAAAAGTTTACATTAGGCTTAACATCGACAAAAATTCAACACGAAGCGACACACAACGGAGAAAAATTTCAATATGGGATAGGTTAATATATTTTTTCGTACGTAATCGGTTATCCGAAAAATAAGTTATCCAAACAACCCCATTCCCCAATTGATTCAGATAAACGACGCTCTACTGTATTTTCAGTTAATTTTTTGCATTATAATTTGTTATAAATAACAATTAGCACATTATTCAATTTCCATTATTATATTATGTTATACATATAAAATCAATCTTCAAAAAAATTAATGCAAAATACAGTAAATCTAATTATTAATTTTAAAACAATCTTATAAAGAATTTAAATTATAATTTTAGGTAGATATGTAATTATTGGTGGTCATCATGATTCTTGGACCAATGGATCTGCAGATCCTGGTACTGGTGTAGCTGTTTTATTAGAATTATCAAGAGTTTTTGGAATTTTGATGAAAGAAGGTTAGTAAATGTTGAATAGATATAAAATTAAATTGAAAATAGTACATTTATAAATTATATAATGCAACATCAATCTGGGCAAATTTAAGTCAGGTTTGATATGTGAATTAAATCATTTTTCTTGAGCTGTTTTTCAGTTATTACAAATTTTGTAGTTATTTTTACATCTACTTATTATTAGTATTATTGTTATATATATTGCATTTGAATGTGATTGAATTTGGAATAAATTATCTAAAAATAAATGAAGTATTAAAATGTTTTTTATGAAAATAATATAATCGATATCACAAAAGTAACATTTTTAACCTATCAGATTGTAAAATTCAAATGCATATTATTGTGACATTATCACAATGCCAGACTGCAATTTTCAATCATGTTTTAATTTTAAACAATTATACGAGTTTTAGTCTAGACCAGAAGTTTGTATATAATTAATTAGGGTCTTTGTCCCTAAGCTTTTCATATCTGTTTCAATTTTCATCTATTTAATTCTATTCTTGAGATTAATGAAAGATAGACAGACAGTGGGAATGCATAAATCTGCAGTCTGAAAATTGCAGCCCAATAACATTATTAATAATCTTTATAGATTTTATGAAGTCAGAGGATGAAGGATCTGTATTTAATACTATGGAATTTGACAGCTTTAAGAAACTATCCATCTAGAAAATCTTTATTCATACACAACACAAACTGTTTGCTTTTAATTGTACTTAAATAAAACTGTTTTATTTGTCTACATACTATTAGATTATTGTATATATTTTTATGTACTTAGCGTAATGTGCTTTTTTTTAAAAAAATTCAAATATTATTTTTAATTTAAATTAAGTTCTTGTTCTGTTCTTATATTGCAAATATCTGAAAATAAAAACACAATTTAAATGTTTGTGATCATACCTTCTAACTGCATGCCAGCTCTTGATGGCCACTCCATAGGCATTTGGTCTACATTGGTGTAGGTTATGCAAAGATTTTATTTTCATTCTAGCAATATTCTGAAGAATATATGTTTCTTTTAGTTATCTGCATGAAATTTCAGTAATATAAATATTTGCAAATATTTTGTTGTTTTATATATATATGTCTGTTGTGTCATTTTTAACTTTTTAAAATATTTTATAATTTACAGTTTTATAAAAGTGGAAGTGTTTAATGAACTTCAACAAAAAGAAGTGTATAATGTGATAGCTACCATACCAGGACAATTTGAACCAGGTAATTACAAATATAAATTTGTTTTTTGGTGTACTAAAAAATTTAAGAGTTTATCTTTATATGCTTTTGCAAAATTATTAAATTGAGAAATAAGGTGGTTGCATGTATAATTGTTCTTTAATAACTATTGGATCTGTAATAGTAAGATGAGGCAGTTTTGTGTGNTAACTAAAAAATGAAAATTAAAAATACATACAAAACATAACACAAAATCAAATTAAGTAAAATTACAAGTATGTATTTGTGCTTGTTTGACTATAGTTCTAGAGGGTATACCTGAAATGTGCCACAGGTGCTGTGTTGCCAGTCCCTGGTTTACAGTATTATGGAGAAAACTACAGAAGCACAAAAAAGATTTTATTCTGATTTGTTTTTTTTTAATATTTTGAAATGCAGCACAATTTAATTAATGTGTTCAATTTGTTGTCAGTTGAATATATTTTGTCATTTTTATTTTAAAAATTGAATACATTTTAGGCTGGAAACCAGGTCGCTCATTAATTCTTGCCAGTTGGGATGCTGAAGAATTTGGCATTACAGGATCTATGGAATGGATTCAGGTGAGAGTAAAATATTCAATTTTTCTACTTTAATAAGTTTTATAGATATTGGTACCTAAAAATATTTATTGAATACTTTTTTGTTACTTTTTAGGATCATGCTAAGGAACTGTTTCAAAGAACCATAGCATATATAAATGTTGATATTGTGGTTACAGGTAAATATATTAATCCTGGTGATTCATTTTCTTATTACTACTTATTAATATTCTTAATTATTTTAGTAATAATTAAGAATATTTATATTAGCAACATGAGCTTTTGAAATTATCACAAAAGTTTTGTAAAATAATTATTTTTATATTTATAAAAAAAATTGGACAATATTTCATGTTATGGCAAATATAAAGAATAATTTATTTTTAGCATATTGTAATTTAACAAAAAGCTTATTAGTTTGCTGATTGATTTTACAACTAGTTACATTAGCTAATCAAGGAAGTAACAAAATTAAATAAGCATATTCTGGATTGAATTTGGAATAAATTAAAAATTAATTTGATTTTAAAGATGAATAATATAAAAGTAATACATGATTTTAAAATTATGCAGTGTTTTTTTATAACTTTTTCTTTTTTGTAAGTATTAAGTGGGTCTTTTTTCCATGTTCACCATGAGTTTGACCAGATCCACAATGGAGATGTCAGGTGATAGACAAAATCTAACATATCTCAATTAAACTAACCACAAAAATTTTTTGAGGACTGGCATGGACTTAAACCAAGGTCCTCCAGATCAACAAGTTGCTATATATATTTTCATGTTCTACTCATTGTTAGTTGTTCTGAAGATGATAATTTACTGGAGATTTATTTAAGAAGGTTCTCTAAGAGATTTTTAGCTAAATATTTTCATCTTGGGCATTCAACTGTCAAAGTGATTTTGGGTTATTGAAGTTATTTTATTTATAATTACTAATATTTACTTTAATGTAAAAATATATTGGTTTTGATTTCATGCATTTTGAATGTAAGTAATAAAAAGTTGGAAACAGTTTAAAGTGTTTTCTACAGCTTATATATATATATATTAAATGACAAAAACAAATGATTTTTTTATGATGATTAACTTTGCAAGTATAAATATAATAATTTTAAGTAATAATGATCCAAATCAAAAGCATTGCAGATTATAGAAATTTCTTGAAATTTTAAAAATAGAGTTACTAGTAGAGCATAAATAGCAATAATTTCAGTTCCTCAATTACCAAGAAATTACCTTGTAATATATTCTGAAACCATGTCTTTCTTTATTTGAATAATTTATTACTACTACTAGGTGCTTATACAGACACTTGGCAATTCTGTCAACTTTTATTCAGGAATTTTTTTTATTTGCCCATATGCGTTTCGGGCTCAAGCCCCTCTTCCATCAGCACATCACTTCCTGGGATATGCATGACAATTGAAAATACATCATATTTTAATTCAATTTAAACTTTTTGTGAATAAAGAATACTCTCCATACACTAAACATCTCAAAGATACAATCTCGTTCAAATTACATTTAGATATTTCTTAAATCTCTGTTCTTACTCCTAACATTTTCCAAAGCACAATTTACATATTGGTCTATTGCACAATAAACACAAATATAAGTTTTCTATACTTCAAAAATTAATTCATTGTAACATGTATAATGTACCATTCATTTCCTCTAAATGTCGACAAAAGAGAATCTTGAGCCTGAAACACGTCTCAGCAAATAAAAAAATTCCCAAATAAAAGTTGATGAGAGAATTGCCAAGTGTCCGTAAAAGCACCTAATAGTGATAACAAATTATTCAAGAAATTACCTGCAGAATTGGAAGCAGACATTGAAAGAAAATAAAACAAATGCATTAAGAATTCCAAAACAAAACTGATAAAAATTGAAGAATGATTTGACTTATGATAGACACTAATATGGTAAAAGTAAATCAACTTGTTCAAACTATAAATTTTATATATGCATATGAAAAATACATTAGAATTTTTATGTCACATTCTGAAATATTTTCAGTTTACTTTAAATATATATTAACTAATACTAAATTAATGTTTAGTTAAATATTTTGTAGTTCTAACTTTTTAATGTTTAAAAACACAGAATGAAGGAAACAAAATAACAATATCAACAAGAAATGAAATTTTCAATTTTAATAGAAATTAATACAGTAGATCCTCAACCTGTTTGTATTACTGAATATTTTGGATTATTCAAAATTTTTTTTTATGTCTTTTATGCTAATTTGCAGTATTTTGATATAATATAGTTGTATGAACCCATGTATGACTTTACACTAGTCATCCTGACCTAATATATCTTGACCATTATTTAAATAATTTACACGCATTGTAAGATTTTATTGTAATAATAGTTCTATAAGAATATTAATTCATTAGTTTTTGTAATTTCTAATAATAAAATTTAATTTCAGGTAATTATTCATTACAAGTGTTAGCTAGCCCATTGTTACGACAAGCTCTTAAGGAAGCATCTACAGATGTATCTTGCCATGATCCAAATCATCCTGGTATGTCATTATATGATATGTGGAAGCTAAGACGACCACAGGACAAAAATAGTGCTAACAGTATACCATTGTAAGAAATTAATATTAAATACTACACAAAATTTTACAGTAACTCTCAGTATAATTGTTTCTGATTGATTAAAATTTATTTCATAAAAACTTTTTTATTTTTATTAATATTACAGTTTTACTTTCATTAATTTTATATCTAGCTTTCTTTATGATTTATTTTCTTTATTACATTAAATACTTTAAAAAAATAGTTGTTATAATAATTAATCAGTAGTACATGACTGTCTGATATATTAGTTGTATAGAACATTGTTTTCTAAAGTGCATACCCCATTAGTATGTGAATGATCTTCAGAAGTACTTGGCAATTTTTGATGCACTTGGCATCACTATGTACAGTACCACTGATGCATAAAATCATTATTAAAAAAATACTGTAGTAACAAAGTATTTCAAATTTATATCTTTCATATGAATTATTTTAAGTTGTGATAAGTGCTACATTTGATTAGTTTATAAAAAAAATTTTTACAATTAACACTCAGTACTTAAGAAAATTAAAACAGGGATACACAGATATTTGTACAACACTGGTATAGATTTATATATAAGTCATCAACAGCATAGTTAATAAAACTAATAGAAGTATTAGAATCATTTTATAAATAAATATATATATATATTATATTTGATATACATATATATATATATCACAATAAAACCATTTGTGTGTGTATATATATATCAAATGGTTTTATTGTGTATACTTTTTGTTGTAATCAAGTCATTAATGCTAGATTATTTTGGGCTATATTTTGATTATCTAATAATAAAATTTGGTAATTTAGACTAAAGATAAGTGGTTATGCTTCCATCTTACACTAACTTTAATAATTATGTTAATTTAAATTTAACAATTTAGAATATTCTAGAAAGGATTGAGCTGGAACAGAACTTAAACCAGCAATTGTGTTTACCATGCAGATATATTATCCTGACTTGATTACAATAATCTTCAGACTTGTTTACTCATGTACTCAAAAATTTTTTCATATATGGTTTTTTTAAGAATTGATATTCCTGGATCAGGAAGTGATTTTGTTGGATTCATATCAGGATTAGGAATTCCTTCTGCCCATTTGCAGTTTGTTGGAAAAGATATGGTAAGTTGTGTATATAAAATTTGAATTTGAAATATAATTATCAAAATGATTTTAACTTTAATAAATAAACGCCATTTACATTTTTAAACAAATTTTTAAAATCAATCCTATTACTCATACAATTTATAGACATCTACTTAATCCAAAACAAACCACAAACAAATCTTGCTAATGCAATCTTCTCCCAAGCTGAATGTTCTAAAACCCAATTAATACATTTGTTCAAGATTATGCAAGACAATGGAATCAACAAACACTCCATGTGTATCAATTATACATTAAGTAATAATAATAAACACTCCTACTTAAACTTTTATCTTAAAAAGTTGTTTTCAATAAATTTCCCTCTCTAAATATTAAGTCTTAGCGGACTATTTATAAATTTATATTTAGAAGCTGCACAATTGACTACGCATGTCATTTACTTTAAACTTTTTCTTATTTAATTTTTTTAGCAATTATTATTTATTTATAGTCTGACTGATGAACAGTAAACAATGAAAGAGAAATCATTTTTGATGAATAATTAATCAGTCTCATTGATAATTAAGTCATGTGACTTGACAATTGTAATGCTAATTTGCTATGATTTCTTGCTCTTTTCATTACAGTAGACCCCCCTATAACGCTTAGATACGTTGCACGCTAACTGAAAATTACGTTGTAGGAATGATTAAATACATGAGCCAATCGCAGCCCGATAGGTGGGAACTTTACGGACTAAGGCTGTTTGAAAGGTTTTCTTCTATAAAATTAACCGATTCTAGACTAATTCCACTCAACATTTCCAAAACACGTATAATTTTTTGGGAATAATCCGTATAAACTACGCTATAAACAAAAAATTATAGGATTACTTACCGAGTGTGTACCNTTTTTATACTTCAGAATGTATCAAACGCATACTACTAATATATGTTAAATAACATCTAAACATATGCATTCATAAATGTAAAGTTTATTTTTTACGATGAATTTCCTGGCTCTTCTGAAATTCTTGATTTTTGCGATAAAGTCGTGTAGTTTCATTTGACGCTTTCTTTTTCTTTCCTTAAGCAAATGTCGGTAGCAGAATATCGTATTCAAAGTCCATTGTTTTGCTTTTGCACCCCTTTCGAAATTTTGATCATTTGCTACAATTTTATCAAAGATTTCGGTTATCGTTACCAAACTTTTACTAAGGAAATCTGTAGAGAAATTCTATGGGATCTTCGTTTTCAGAATCTCTATTTTCCAGTTCCTTGTTCTACCAGTTTTTGAACGTCGTCGTTCTTAAGACTCTCACCAGAAACCCGCAGTAACTCCTCAATATCCTGCTCGTCTACATCTCCTAGTCCTGCTGTATTGATTAAGTTGACAATTTGGTAAACTATACTCTCTTATCGTCGAGAATTGCTGGATACCTCCAGCCGTGCCTTCTTTTACACTCCGTTAATGTATTTATCAATTAATTCTTGCGAAGCAAAGTCGATGTTGCCTATGACATCCATTTTTCCATATATATATATATATATATATAGATATAGATAATATAATTATAATATGTTACATTTATTTTTTCTCTACAATGAAAGTTTTTCTACTCAAGTTGTTTTAACTCAATGAATCTATTTTTTATATTTATGATTTTTTTCAATATTGTTTTAGTTTCTGAAAAAACATAATAGTGAAATACAATTAGAGAAACAAAATAAATATATCTTTGAGTGGTTAAATTCAGTAATTTCTATTACTTATCTAAGTTAATTGGACAAGAATTCAAAGTAATATGTAAGAAGTGTTTAAATATAAGAAAAAACAATGATATATGGTGCATAAAAATTAATACAGTGGTACCTCAGGATACGAAATTAATCCGTTCCGAAACTGAGATCGTATCATGAAAATGTCGTAAGGTGGATTATCTTTTCCCATACGATTACATGTAAAACCAAATAATTCGTTCCAACGCGAAAAACATACTCAAATTAAAGCCAAGTAATACATTAAAAAAATAACTGTAGTAAGAAAAACAAATGAAAAATGCGAACTAATGTAACGTCGTATGGTGAGTTTTTGTTCGTATCGTGGAGCAAAAATATGTTTGAATTTCATGTCGTATCCTGAAAATTTCGTTTGCTGGGGCGTTCGTAACCTGAGGTACCACTGTATCTGTTATTTCAATTATTGAAGGCTGTCAAAAACTTTTTTAAAATACAAATTTAGTAAATGATCACAAAGAAAACAGTTCTAACAGCTTATAATTGATAATATAAGTCAGAAATAATTTGTTTTGATTAAAATAAATCTTTGATGAGCAAGGAATATAAAACCACTTTTCTTTCTGTGATAGAACTTGAAATTACATTTATTGAAATTGTTTTTCAAACAGGAAACAAAATTTTATTTTAAATATTATTATTGCATTCAACTCACCAAAAAACCTTATTTTAACACCAGCAGGAGTTTAATCTTTCATGTGGACTTGGATAAAATTTTTGTTTTGTTTTAAATTGGGTTTTTTATCAAATTATATGTCTTCTTCAGGTCTTACATCTTTTGTTCTACTTTGGAATGAATTGTGGTGAGATTCAAAATCTTGTTTAATGTTCTTAGTTATAAATATTTACATATTCCATTCATATATAATATCCATTTAAACTCATAAATAGCTATATAACATTGATTTAAATATCTAAATATTTATACTAAGAACATCAAATATGATTTTGAATTTCACCATCATTCATTTCAAAGTTTGAAATATTATAGCATATTTCTTCAAATTCCAAAATAGAATAAAAGGTCTGACCTGAAGTAGACCTATAATTAGGTCAAAAACATTTGCCCCAAGTCCACATGAAGGATTAAACTCCTGCTGGTGTTAAAATAAGGTTTTGTGAGTTGATCAAACAATCCAGCTTGCAGAAGCATTTGGTGAGCCATTGATTCATTCAAAATTCATAAATTCATTTATCTCATAACTTACATTAATGTCCTACATTTAAATTTATGAAATTTATTTTATTAGTTTTATGCAATATAAAATTTCAATTATCTTGAATTCTGTCTTGTATTAATTTTATATTTTACTAGCTGCAAGGACCCGCTTTGCTGGGTTTTTATTTGTATGTAATATAGTTTTTTTTATATATAAAAGACTGTTTTTCTAAGTAATCTAGCTGGAAGGACCCGCTTCATTGGGCAAAAAGTAACGATAGTGAAGATTAAGATAATTACATTATAGCCAGTCTTACCCGTTTTCACAGAATGCAAGAATTAGGTCCCCCGTTTCCAGACTAATTAGAGAATTTTTACGTCCAGTCAAACGAACTATTTTTAATTTGATCAATTTTCTGGAACGTTCATAATCGTTCTATAATCGAACCAATTCAAATTCGAATTTAAAACGGTTCGAACATTTTTAAAATCGAAATAGAAAATCTTCGAAGTCAACCACTTTAAGCCCCCATATCTCCCGCACCCTTACAGCTATCGAGACACAACCACCATAGTGCATGAATGGAGACTTGGGGCTACTACTACATACAAACACCATTCATGTGCGATGTGTAGTTTTGGCTGAAAAGTGAAATATAGGGACACACACATCCATTTATATATATATAAAGATTTGGA